AGGAGCATTGGAGATCAGTTTCAGAAGATGCTAATAAAACAAGGTCGTCTGCAAACAGCAACCTTCTCGTCTCGACATCTCCTACACCAATATACTCATCACCTTGGCTGCTCTTAACTATTCTCTCCAGGTACAAGACAAAAAGAAGAGGGGTAGGATGCATCCTTGGCGGAGCCCAGTGCCAGCGCTAGAAAGGTTCGACTTAACGCGATTTACTCTGACGCAACACCTGCTTTCATCATCTAGTGGCTGGCTGGCCCATAGCAACTGACCATCGATCCCATATGTTCACAGGCCTGCCCACAGACTGTTGCGCAGGATGCGGTCTTAGGCTTTCTGGGTTGAGAAAAGCACGTGCACCTTTTGGGGGAACATTCACAAGGGGACGTTGGACAAATATTTGGTCAGTGGTGCTTCGACCGGGTCGGAAGCATGACCCATTCGTTTCTACTATGCCATTAATGTCCTGGCTTGAAGGAACGTCATTCATGTAGTTCGATGCAGTTTCCTCTTGCATTTTCGTGTATTTGTATGTGATTTTAGTGTAATACAATTTTTTCAATAAAGCAGCTGGTTCCAGAATGATGAATTGTGCGAATTTGTTCTTTTCATCACCAGAAACTCAGCATTAATTTGTAGGAGAATTTTATCCGGTGACTGATTGAACCGCTTCCACTAGTTTTGTGTTCAAATTTAGACTCGATATCTATTAACTGTAAATTTTTTGCAATTTTAGGTTGTCTCTCATTGGCGTTTTGTGTGATAGATAGCTATTAAAACTGCAGTTTTAGGCTCTGATATCTTTTTTTTCACTCGATAAATTGAAGCGGGTTTAATTATACCAACTGTAGATGATGAAACACGCTCTCCAGGCTCTCTTATTTCTTTACTGTGTAAGTTGACGAACAGAATGATTTGTTTCGATATTTATAGATTCGTACGAAAATAAATCTTTTGAGGATAACACCTCCTCAGTGACCTTAAAACTTCATTCTGGAAACGGATCAGATGAGAAAAGCGAAGAAACAGTTATTCCGGTATATTTTTTTGCCCGCTGACGTGTAATCGGTCTGATATGGCATTTATAGCCCGTTAAATCGAAGGGCATTACACTGGACGACTTTAATCTGTTAACGGTAATCGGTCGAGGGTCTTACGCTAAGGTCTTACAAGTCGAATACAAGAAAACTGGTCAGTTGTACGCAATGAAAATCATCAAGAAAACCATGGTGACGGACGAAGAAGATATTGACTGGGTTCAGACCGAGAAACACGTGTTCGAAACTGCCTCAAATCATCCGTTCCTTGTTGGCTTACATTCGTGTTTCCAAACATCAGGCCGGTGAGAGAGTTTTACGATCATTGTACCGGTAAAATGCGTCATGGTTCGATGTGTTGTTCGTTTTCCACGATTGAAACCGTATAATTTATCAGAAGCGCTTCTTATGTCATGTTCTTGTACTTGGTGACAGGTTCGTTCTTCATGTTAATTTTTCTTCATCGGGGAAATGAAATGTTGCCCTGTCTTACCTATCCGTTATCGACCATTGATGGTTCCATTATGTGGGGAAGAAGCAGAAGTGTCCATCTAGCTGTAGATGTTAATAAATTCCTGGCAGCCTTGAATGGTGCCGTCGTAACGGCGATTAGTGCCGCACCATAAACACCTTTGTGAAAGACGCTACAAATAGCGTAACGTACGGTAGGCCGAAATTCCAGCACAGGTAAACGATTTACGTTTAATGTATTTATTTCAATGTATTTTTTCTAACGCCGTGGCTGCAGTTATGTGGAAAGCAGGAGTCTCCAGTTGTCTTCCCAGTAAATGGTGAATCGAAATTAAGATCATTAATTGCATCTGGTCAGCAGTGAGACCGTTAACCGAACAATGGCGCCGTACCATAGTTCGTTGGATAATTCTGTGTAATTTGTATCTTTCAAGCGGAGGGAATCGAGCGCTGTTGAGGTAGGCACTGTGGATTAACGGTTACTTCATAATGCTCAAATGTTTACTCGCTTACCACAGATCGAAGACATCTCCGACCAAGTGGTAATGGTGGCAGCTCCTCTAGCGTTAATCACATTTTAGACAACCGGTCTCACGTGATATGCAAGAGCTAACAAGATAAATTAGTATTTAAAAACATGAGATTTGAACAAAATCTGTTTTTTTGTGAAGTTGTCTTTAAGCAGTATTCATTTTCGCGGTGTACTCATTTCAGTGAACATCATACGTTAGACCCCGTCAAAATTTCTACTGTGCTTCTATTCGTTCAAAGTCCACGCGAACCTATTTAATATATTACGTTTAGCATACACTTCCATTGTTTTTGTGTTCCGCATTCCTTGTGTTCTTTTTTGCATTGTTCTTCTGGCTCTAGATATTTGTTCGATTCTGTCCCATGCTGAGATTAAATTTTGCATAGCATGGAAGACGTTCAACCATAACAGTGATAAAACATTGCTTCCATTTGAATGAACAGGAATTCAGCTTTCGACAGTTCGTAATATAAATGCAATTTATCCTTAAAGGTTATTTTGATGATTTCATGATTAACGAAAAATCTTTCTATGGAGGTGTAAAATCTATTCAGTTGCGTGAGATGCTTCTTGGATTAATATAATGTTTCTTTTGATGGATTTGTTGGTTTGTCAAGAATTCTTTTGTGGATTTTCCACTATGGCATAATTGTTATCGGTGGTTCTGAGAGTTGGCAGTGTGATGCACTGTTTCGTTTCAGTGTTTCTGGTCTTTTTTCTACTACTGTCATCAATGATATTCGTTTCTGTCCGTTGGTAGTTTTCATTTTTTAAGTCTCTTTCGAATTTTTCCTGTCGTAAATAGTTCACCATCCTTTCGGAGAGTATGGGATAGAATGGAAGGATTTTTCACTCCTTCCTTGCAAATTGCTACGAATAGTAGTTGCTGTTTAATTCCCTAAAGCCATTGAGTAACAAGGACATAAGACGACCTTACAGTTTGTTGTGCCTGTGTTTGCTTTACGTCGGTTTGTCGACTTCTGTTGTCATGCTTCTTTCACTATGATCATGCAACACTTTTGACAGTAATCCAAGTTTAAATTCAGCACTTTTTTATTATGAATGCCTTCTCTTACCAGACCGAGGTATGAGTGACGAAAATACCACTGCAATATTATGGCTTTCATCACTGCGTCGACTCGCCTCCCACTTGTTATTCACAAAATCCGATACACATACCAAATATCCATTTGCTCATTATCTCCTACCTTCACGGTTGTAGTTCATGTGTTTCAGGTATACTGTTTACTCAGGTTCTCTGTGTTTAAATGCATTAGTTTTTAGGTTGTTTTTTGTCATTGAGTTTGTTCCCGGTGGTGACCTGATGTTTCATATGCAGCGGCAGAGACGACTACCTGAGGAGCACGCGCGGTTTTACTCTGCGGAAATTATACTGGCCCTTCACTTCTTGCACACTCGAGGTAAATTTTAACTGCTCATGTTCGAATGGTAATTTTAGGTTTTTTTATTTGCTGCGTTCTTTTTTAGTAATTGGTAGCCTAATAAATGATGAGTAATAAAAGTAACCTTTTGGTAAAATTTTGTTTGATTCATATGTCTTATGAACGACCAGTGTTGGTTTTCGACCATAGTTCTATCTGACTTATTTTCCTCAACGGCCGCGCCAGTGACACAACTCGTCGTTCCTCCACTCTTCTCGTTGTTGTGTGCTCTTTGCTTCCATCGTTGACCGAATAGCTTCGTCCTTAAGTAGTTTCAGCGTGACGTTGGACCTCTGACTGGATGTATGTTGCCAAATCAGTTTAATTTGGTAACTCAGAATGATGTCTTCTATCGTCTTTCAGACGAACCGCATGGCCAGCCCATCGTCTCTTCAAATTGTAGGCGCAATACGTCCAAAATTCGTGTCCGACAGCAAACTATCATATTTGGTACCTGGTCTCGAAGGGAGACCTTGCATGTTCTTCTTTCGTTACTACTAATGTCTTTTTCTCAGTTTTGATGGTAGTCCAGTAATCTGCGCATAAATCGAA